CACAATTGATGTGTGTATGGATTGCGATAACAGTTGTATGGATTGCGATAACAGTTGTATGAGTCCCTAATAAAATGTTAAAAAAAAAAAATTGAGATGCCCCACACTTTTTTTTGTAAAGGTAGAGCAAAGAAGGAGTAGTGCTATTGGAAACCAAGGGGCTCTTTCAGGCAAAATACTTTAGAAATAATCCATTTAAGGTGATTTTGTAAGCTATTTGTGCATGTATATAGCCTATTTCCAAATTTGATTTTAAGATTATCATCATGTGTAGTTTGGAACTTCTTATCCCAACATTATAGACACCTGTGAGGTGTCCCCACTTATATTCTTGCTTCTTCTTAATGCATTTTCTGTATTGAACCTGGAATATGTATTTTTTGTTTTAAACCTTTGAGAACTTCATATTGCTCTCAAGATAAATCCCCTATTCTACTGTGAACTCTGTGGCTTGGTCTTTCACGAGTCCCCTCCATCTGACCTCTGTGTGGTTCTTCGAAGGTGTTGAGGGACCTGTGAGCCATCTTTCTCCTTTTCCTTTTCCATTTCCCCCGTGGGATCTCAGTAAGTGTTTTTATAATGATGGTGATGTTCGTATATATACATATGTATGTATATATGGTGTTGGTTACTTTGTGATATACTTACAATTTATTACCTCACTTAAATCTTTATGAAACGAGCAAGATACTGTTGTCACCACCATTTTACAGGTAAGAAACTGAAGCAATCAGAGCTTAAGTAACTTGTCCAAGAGCGTAGCACTAAGCTGTGGAACTGACTAAGAAACTTAGGCATCTTAAGCACCATGACTTACTGAATCCTACTGTAGCACTCCTTTGACATTTAAACATTTTCAGTTGAATAAAAACTGACATGGGTATTCTGTATTCATACATTTTGTTAGGGCATAGCAAAGGCAAAAGGATGTATGTACTTTTTCAGTTAGATAAGATCTGTATGTAGAAACATCTTAATGCAACTTTCGTAAACAGTTTTGAAGTTGTGCATTACTAATGTCTTTCAATTTAATGACGTCATCTTACTGTAAAATTTTTCTAGTTTTACTTGTGGTTCTCAACATTGGCAGTGTGCCACCAGATGTGAGGATCTGATCAGAAATGGATTACCCACAGTAAAGCATGCTTTTTTAAAATAGCAGTTTTTTTAAAAAACATTTTATTTGGGGATCCTACAACTCTTATCACAATCCATACACACACCGATTGTGTAAAGCGCATTTGTACTTCATTCTCAAAACATTTTCTCTCCACTTAAACCCCCAACATTAGGTCCTCATTTTTCCCCTCCCTCCCTGCTCCCCCCTCCCTCATGAGCCCTTGATAGT